AATAGATGAATGGATAAAGAAACTGTGGAATATATACACAATGGAATATTACTCAGCATTGAAAGAGAATAAAATTATGACATTTGTAGGTAAATGGATGGAGTTGGAGAATATCATGCTWAGTGAAGTAAGCCAATCCCTGGGGACATTTTTTAGATTGGCTTTCTTGGTGCTAGGTAGGAAGTGTGTTTTAGAATGGAAGTGGTTCTGAATATTTAAATGTCAGTGTGCTTTATAGCTTTCACAACACATTCACACATTTCAAATGAAGGATCCAGAAGGCTTTCACACTCATTTATTCTACCTGGAGAAATATTGTGCTACTGCCAGGCCCTCCCTCTCATTATGAGCCTTTTATATTTTGCCAGAATGCACTCGTTCTTCATGATGCATGGGCCTGAACATGTAAACACTAGCCTTGCTTCTGTCCCAGTATGTCTTTTGTTCACAATGAAAGGTTGTTTCCCAATGTCTGACTTCCTACTTGTGCAGAAGACTTCTTTGGGGGAGAGGTTGAATCTCTTTGACCCCAYCTGCATTTCCTTTTCCTGGCTGCTGGTGGGACCTTGCATATCCTCAGCACCGACTCCGGAGCCCTTAGGATGGGGTCCAGCAAGTCTCTAGATGCAGCAGCTCTGCTTGCATCATCATCTTCACCCTCATCAGCCCACTCCTGACGCCAGCTTTCCTGTCTTCACTTGGGAGGCTGTAGCCTAGGGAGGACAGCTACTGGAYGGATCTTCTTTTCAAAAATCTCTTTTGAAACCTGTGATGTGTCCAATAGAGCTAGAGAGTCAGCTTTACTTTCRGAGGTTCGGTGTGATCTTTGTGTGTTCCTTTTGCCTTTCCTTGCTGGATTTTTTTTTTTTTTTAATGGGAAGTCTTTCCTGTTCAGCTTGAGTATACTCTGTGCGAAGGTTGTTTTTCTCAGAAAATCAACCCACTGGGGCTTAACCTGCTTTACCGATTCCATGCTTAACAATTTAAACATCTCTCCATTTGTGTGAAGAGAAACAAAATTAATAAAATAATGTTTACAAATCAACTTAAAAGCAGGCTTTTAACACCATTAAAAGAAAAAAGTAGGGCTAGCTTAGTTGGTAGAGTGCTTTCTTTGCATTCACAAAACCCTGGGTTCAATCCCCAGCACCACCACCAAAAAAACCAAAAAAAAACCAAAAAAAAACCTGGAAATCCACTCCAACAGTGGAGCATTAATACTAGAAGCAAGAGGTGTTGTTTTGAGTTTAATTTTTGAAAACTATAATTGTAAATAATCCCCTCCACCCCCCTCCGCCACCACTTTTGGGTCCAGAACTAATGAAGCCAGGTGTGTGAAGATTCTCCTAGTTGTGCATTAACTGTCAGGTGTCATTCCACAGTGCTTCCTACAACTCCAGTAGGTCACTCTCTTCTCTTTGGGATGTCATTTATGTCCTCCCTTACCCCTTTCCATTTCAGTTACTCTTCTACTGTATTCATAATCCTGTGGGCATCCTGCCATCTTCTAGGTTTTGACGTTTGAGAAGATGATTTTTTGCTTCTTTTTTGTAAAGCAGCTGGGGGTTGGAGCAGAATTTCCTGCCACATTATCTAATGTGATGGTCACTGTTTCCACTAGTTTTTCTACTTGTATCCTCATCTCCCTCTCCACTCTGCCTCCTGTTTCACTCTTTGTATCTTGTTATTTTCCTCAATAGTTTTCTTCTTTTTCTTTCCTACTCTTCCTTCCTTTTTTTCTGCTTAAGAGCCAGTGATTTGTCAGAGTATAATCCCAGGTTTAGCTCAGGGTGTTGGTTCTGCCATATGCTGATAATTGTCTTGGAGTAACTATTTTAACCAATTCAAATTTGTTTTTTTTAATTGTTTTTTACACAAGTGGAACACAACTTTTCATTTCTCTGTTTGTACATGATGCAGAGTCACACCATTCATGCTATCATACAAGTACCTAGGATAATTATGTCCATCTCATTCCACTGTCTTTTCTACACCCATACCTCCTCCCCTCTTCTCACTCCCCTCTGCCCAATCCAAAGTTCCTCCACTCTTCCGTTGACCTCYCCATTATGGATCAGCACCCACTTATTACAAAAAACATTTGGCTGTTRGTCTTTTGGGATTGGCTTGCTTCACTTAGCACTATATTCTCCAACTCCTTTCATTTACCTGCAAATGCCATAATTTCATTCTTTTAAGTCTGAGTAATATTCTACTGTATAGATATACCACAGTTTCTTTATCCATTC